GGCGGGCGGCGCGGCGCAGCCCGCAGAGGCGGAGGCGGTGATGGCGGAGGCGGTGATAGCGGAGGCGGCCGCGGCGCGAGCGGGCGAGGGGTCGGCAGCGGAGGCGATGGCAGAGGCGGAGGCGACGGTGACGGTGGCGGCGGCGGACGGCCAGGCGGCTGCCGTGGTGGAGGGGAGCCCGGACGAGAAGGGCGTGGCGTGGTTCACGGTACACAGCGTCCACTGCGCGGCATGCCACGCGTGTGAACAGCGCCTCTTCACGCGTGCATCTGTGAACAGGCGCAGTCGCTGCCTCACATCATCTGCCATCTCGCGCCACAGCAAGACAACGACTACGACTGCGGCGAGCACACGCCCCCCCCCCGCAGCGCACGCCCCCCGCAGCGCACGCCCCCTCTTCTCGCGACATGAGCGAGACACGATTGCGCTGAGCGACACACTTTGCCACAGGTGTCTACATGCTCCACTTCGTCGAGTGCTCTCGCCGGCCACAACTGCCGCCAGTGAGAAGGCCCTGCGTTCAGCCGTGAGGTTTGCGCGAGTAGGAAACTCGCCTGTGCGGAGAGGCTGCCCTCCTTCGCCAGCGCGCAGGGCCACTGCGCAAACACACCCGGCTCTCCCCAAGCCGCCATTGGGCGCTCCCGCGGTCCCCTCCGGGCTGAATGCGGCCTCCGGAGCGGGCGGCGCGAGCGTCTAAGTCTACTCATAAATAAATAAATAAAAACGGACCCACCTCTCTACTGTGAGATGGGTTATGGGTAAAAAGGAAGGTAAGGAAAACAGGTCCCCGCCGCGCCCTTGAGCCTTATGTCTAAGTCTACTGTCTAAGTCTACTCATAGCTTTCTCCACGCTCTTCTTTGCGTTCCGAAGCACCCACCGCACTGCGCTCTTCTGTAGTGGCTAGTGCATCGCCTGGTCAACTCGCTTGCCACTGTCATTTGATTGCCCCCGCCCTCTCGCTCCACAGCCGCCACCGCGCCGGCCATCGCGGAATTCGCGTCGGATCTCTCTCCTCTCACTGCGATGTGGCCGCCCACCGCCCTGTCACCACCGTTACCGTTACCTCCACCGCCCTCGCCACCGCCCTCACCCCCTCATGCCGCCGCTACCATTCCGGCCACCCTCCCCGCTCCCACCCTCATGGCCTCATCCCCACCCTTGCCCCGCCGCCCCTGCAATCCCCACCAAGGGGGGCGGACGCCGGTGCCGCCCTCGACGCCCCCTTCGCAGCCGTCTCTTCCGCCGTCGCCTCCGCCCTCACCGCCCCGCCGCCGTTGCCGCCGCCCTCGCCGCCCGTGCTCTTGCCGTCGCCGTCGAGCCCGCCGCCCTCCTACGCTACCCCCCCCCCCGCCCTCACCGCCGCCCTCGCCGCCACCGCCCTCGCCGCCGCCGCCCTCGCCGCCGCCTCCCTCGCCGCCGCCGCCGCCCTCCAGCATGCCGCCGCTCTCGCCCTCTCCCCCTCCCAAGGCAGCGCGCAGGCCACTGCGCAGCCACACCCGGCCCTCTCCGAGCCGCCACGGGGGGCACTCCCGCGGTCCCCTCCGGGCTGAATGCGGCCTCCGGAACGGGCGGCGCAACCGCACGCGTCTCTCGAGCTCTACTCAAAGCCTTCCACACTCTTCTTTGCGTTTTCCGAAGCATG